AAAACCCCCATTTTTTTAGAATGACAAAAAACAGCACTTTTACTCTCTAAAATTCTCCGGCCACTTTTTTGTGTGGTGTGGGGTTTTTTTTTTTATTTTTTTTTTTTTTTTTTTTTTTTTTTTTTTTTATATGGCATGTACCCCACATTTTCAAATTAAATGGTTTTGAGTAAAGTGTTAATTTTGTCATCTTATGCAGCAAATTTCACCTAATCTGCTCTTCCAACACTACTTTTACACAAGCTGTATTCAAACAACTCTTTGTGGTCCATTTTCTCCAAAGGCATCAGAAGTGATGATCAGTTCTTTTGTCCAAAGGTGGTTAGGGTTACTGAGTTCCCCAAAGTCAATAAGTTGGGGGAAATGATTGTTGGAAAACGCATCTTTAAACTTTACCCTTTTATTATTCAAATCAAAACCTCCTTTCAAGTTTAATTCAATTCAATGTATGTTGAACATTTTGATTTTTAAAAGTTGTGTAATTTTAACAAATTAAGCAAATTTTACTCTAAAACCTCAGTCTGGGCAACAGATGTGCACAGGACTTGACTTTCATCAGTAAAAAGCTTTCAAAAGGTTCAAAATTAACTGCTCCAATACTTGTTGGGGTGTTTTTTGTTTTTTTTGGTGAGTTTGCCTACAGTGACAACCTCTGAAGAAGGTAGCAGCCAAATGAGATTCAGTAAAACATTTAACTTCAACGTACTCAGTTGAGCTTACAGAGATGTCAGTGTTACTGACATTTTAAAATAAAAAAAATCACAATTTACAAAATGTTAAGATTTGACTTTTATTTTACTTGCATGAACAGTAGTGTGGGAGTGTAGAGGCATTGCTTAAAAGTGTGACTACCATCGCTAATCGCTTTGTGCAAAACTCTGTACAACTTGAAATGGTTAACATTATAACATGTAGGTGTTTCACTATTTCTAATGACTACCACCAGAATTAATTTACATCTCCAAGCAAAAAGTCCTTTGTTCAAAACTCTTGAATCACCGTTTCCTGCTGTGAATGCTGGCAGGCTGTTCCAACTGTAGCACAGTCCTGAAACCACAAGTTCTCTGACAGACAGTTGAGGATGGGGGCTATATCACCCAGTCCGTTACTGATCTCCCTGCCTGTCCGCAGCACCGGTAACCCCCATGCCTCCTGGAACTTCTGTACATCTCTCTGCGCCACATCACAGTGCATAAAAAGGTCAAATCTGAGCTTTTCATTAATGGAAAATGACTGTTTACTAATACAGTTCTCCATGTGCTTTCCCTGAAAGTTCATGTCTTTAGTGCACCTGAAGTAATTCTGACAAATTTGAAAATTTCAGCAGTTATTTCATCAAGTCGTCACTGCAGACAGATGTTTGCCCGATAGTAAGTTGCTGAATGTACAAATGGTTATCAGAAATTACAGTAAAATGCAGAATAAAAAGGATACTTTGTTCCAATCACCACTTTGACAGCGGAACCGTGAGGCGATTCATTCCATTTCTCTATTTGAGTTGACAAATCATCAAAGGATGTCCTGTCGGTGAAGGAGAAAAGGAAGAGGACCGCATCCACCTGTTCCTTACAAGACTAGGAGACAGAAAAGTTATCAGATAAAATCTTAGCAATAGTGTTTGAGGTATGTTTCTTAAATTTTCACTGTTTCAAGATATGATGCATACTGGAAGCAAATGATCAAATCGGCGTAAGGCGTTCTCTCCACAGTCCCAAAACTGCAGACGAAAGAAAAGCACTCTGCCACTTTCTCTCAGCTTTACTGGCCAGTACACCACTGTTGTCTCGATGCCTTCAACATAAAAAACACTGTAAGAACATCTGTAAAACGACCAACTCTACGATCGTCTTCCCTCGGAAAATGATCAGCGTTTCGTCCTGAACCTACCTGTGGTTTCATGGTGCACATTAGGGATGTTCAGGCCTGCAAGACGTGCAACAAAAGCGGTTTTACCAACTCCACTCTTACCAGAGATGAAAATCTTATAGTGAACTGTGTCCACAGTGACCTGTGGAGGCATCACTGGAGACTCCAACAGACCTGTTGAAGAAAAAACTACATTAAAATGTTTATTTAGTCATGAACAGATATTTTTGCACCTAATATCCTCCTTTTTTTTTTTTTTTTTTTTTACAATTCTAACCTGTGAGCCTAACATTAAGTGATATAATTGATAGTTGTTTTTTTTATGTTGTATACAATAGGACAAACTTCAGCTAACAGAAGATGCAAATTACTGAAAACACAAACTGACTTTCACATCCACCTTGTGGATCTTCTCTACAGTCTATTTTCTGTGCAAAACATGAACCCACTTCTTTTGATTTTTGCTCGTCTGCGTGTAAACTATATGTAATAAAATACACTGCTTAGATTTTTTTGTTTGCATTGTTTACCTGTACCTGTAAACACAATCTCAAACTGTGTTAGTCCTACAAACACTTGCAGCCGCTGCATTATTTTATATGTATTAGTTTGTAAATTAGCATTTATGTAAAAATAAATACATGACCAATAAATCAAAACCGAGGTATTTTAATTATACCAAATCGAGTTCAGAATGATTCTCCCTCAGTCTTAAAGACATGTTTACTCTGGAAACAGTAGCTGTATGCCTCTGGAATTAAATTAATGATATAATAATAATAAAAACAGTTTGACATTACCAAAGTTCTTTCGTTTCTTCTTGTGTAGAATTTTGTTAAAATACTCTTTGCTTTCTTTACATGGATGCCAGTCAGCAACTATAACAGAACCTGGAGGGGGAAGATGTGCCGCCATGTTGGTTATAAAATAAAAATCACAAAAAACTTACGATTTGTCGTATCTGACAGAAAACCTCTTGTAAACGTGAATTTTGCAGCTAAGTATAAAAATATATATGTCCATTAAAGTTACTAATCGGGTTAACAGAAATGATGGAGATCGAGTAAGGTACATTAGCAGCGAAGCTATTTAATTAAATAACTTCCGGGTTGTTATGTTAATTTGGTTAAAAATATGTTGAACTTAGGAGGTATGACAGTAAATATTTTTACGTTTATATGTATCATTGTAATTAGAGTGTGTCATTTATTCTGTTAGTGTGTTCGCTTGTTCTGTATGTTCAACTGTTCAATAAAAAAATAAAATAAAATTTTATAACTTCCGTAAACTAAAACCCATCCATTGACAACGGATGTCGTCACTTCCGTTACTTTCTGGAGTTGCCTTCAGTGTCTGTCGAAGTCTTAATAGACCGAAAACAAAATCTAATTGAGTCAATCCAGTTTTCTTTATTTCAACATACTTATCAACGTTACAGTTACTTTGTTAAATTTTACATAATTGGATAAGAAATGTCTTAGCATAGTTATTTTGTAAAAATATCATGCGGAACATCTTTGGGTCCGTGTGCTTTAGGTTAACGATTGTTATGTTTTTGGTATTCCTTGAACGTTGCACCATAAAGTTCATTTATTTGCCTCTTGGAGGCGCTAAAGTCCACTTTTTAAGTCAAAGTGTGGAGGCCAAATGCTGAGGTTACATCTGGAGAAAGAGAAGTCAAATTTAAGTAAATTGAAGCTTTATTTAAAATGTACAGTTAAAAAAAAATACTTTACTAAAACACCTTGTGAGCTCTCACAGTCAGGACACCGTTGCTCTCCAATGACAGGCTCACAGATGAAGGGTCCACATCGGACGGCAGCTTGCACTGGTGTGAAAATGCATTTGTTATTGTACCATCTTCACTCAGCTGCAATGTCAAACACACCAGTTAATCCATTTAAATGTTGTCTGATCAGATAAAATGAAAAACATATTTTTAAATCAAGAAAATAGTTTTTTCTGAATCTGAAAAAATAATCTGTCAGTCTGTAGTTACAGTTTCCACAATAGAGTGAATAATCACTCACCTTTTCGGCACAAACCTCTAATAGGTTGTTGGAGGATATGAGAATAATGTCTTCTGGAGAAAATTCACTCACATCCAGCTCGAATTGGAAAGTGTCACCTGTGATCTGTATCTTTCCTGTGGGATGTGAATGATCTAAAAATGTTAATGGTGGAATAAAGGTCAAGATTTTTTGAATCAGTTAAAATATTTTAATGCAGTACTTTTTTAACCAAAAAAACAAAACAAAAAAAAAAAACATATATTGCTTGTTGTTGTTGTTGAGCTGACCTGTATACTTGTGATCTTCGGTCCTGTGCAGAGGTAAACATCTTGAATCCTCAGAAAAATTATTTTGACTGTCAGCCATGCACGCTAAAGAATTAATCTTTCTCCAGGAAAATCCCTTTCCTCTGTGTTTCACCTGTGGATGAGTGTCTAATATCCTACTGGAAGCCTTCGGTGTGGGTGTGGATGTAATCTAGTCTCTAAATGATTAGAAGGGACAGGAATATGACACATTTTAAAGATATCCAATGTGTCATAACGGTTGTTTAACTGCTCACAAGAGGTCGGGCATGTTCAGCCACACTCCTAACCAGTGAATCTTTGTGCTTCTGTGTGAAACAGGGTGTGGGTATGTCCCTGTGTGGAGCACTATCAAATACCACAGTGGGCTACTAATCCTAAATTTAAATCAAAACGGTCATATCATCAAATACACATGGATAAAATCTATCAATAAGATTTTGTTTTTTAGGACACATAAGATGGATTATTTTCTGATTTTAAAAAAAATTGCCACTGAACATCTTGCTTACTGGCCTTACTGTTTAACATGACAGAGACGTGATGAAGCACAGTAACATGTGGCTGTGAAATTCTGCTCCACTTTGCAAAGTCAAACGTTGGTCTGGAGGAGAGCCATCACCAAATACGCTCTGCGAGGCAGCACTGTTAATTGCAAAAGCGAATTGTTCAAATTAATTCTGACTTCTGTGTCTTTATCATTTCCAGGGTGATTTTGGAAAAGAAACATACGAGCGTCTCTAAGCCCAATCCATGCATCCAATTACATTATTTTACTTTCTTTTCCGGGGAGCTAGTGTCTATCTCCAGCAGTTACATGCGAGATGTTAGACATAGCAAGACAACCATTTTCACTCACACCTATGGACATTTTAGAGGTACCAGTTACATGCCTGTTTCTGGTCTGTGGGAAGAAACTGGAGTACCTAACTCACAGAGAGAACTCCACCCAGACAGGCCCCAGGCCAGGAGGTGATCCTAAAGCTCATAAAGAGAATACATATTTCATGCATTTGTAATGCAACTAAACTCTACTAGTTCAGGTGTCAGATCCCGGATCTGATCAATTTCAGAACCTGTTTTGCTTTAAAACCCTTCAGCAACACATTATACTCTAATTTCTCACATTACCTGGTTTGTCCTACATGTGGAAAATGTTAGTCACAAACAGTACTGTGTGAAGCTTCTCTAATTTCTTTCACTTTCAATCCAAGGAGTCAGGCTTTCATGTACTGTAATATTTTAAAATGATCTTGCTCAATAATTGAGTTGTCCAAAGGTCTTACAAAGTTTATTTAAGGACTTAAGTTAACCTTTTTACTTGTTTTCTGTTTAATTATTGTTCTAATCTTGATCATGATAGTACACAGTATTGTGAGTTTTTTATTATTAAGAAAGTGGACATTTGTAGGACAAATAAAAACATGCCAGGTCTAAAATAAATATAAAAACATACAGCAAATGGACAGTATATGAAAGTTGTCGTTAGGAAATATGAGGAAAGAAAAGCCAGCAAAAACCTGACATAGGAGCTGAAAGATATCTATCCTTTCAGCGTATCATCTGTGTCAAGTTTTCAGCCAACAGATTTAGGGAATTCCCTCGCTTGTTTTAATATTTTGTGTCAAAACTGTGTGTGTTTTTTTTTTTTTGCACATTTTGTATTTTTTTATTGATCAACAAAAAATGGGAACAAATTGTATGACATGCTGCTGATAAAATGCTAAAATATCCCTTTTTCAATCAGTTTTTATGTTGACACAACAGTGGTTCATCTTTTTAGTTCATGAGCTTTTTATGCTTGAATGATTAATGTGTCAGAGTTCAATGCCTTTTCAAAAAAAGGGTACTACTGGACTGAAAATGAGTGAAAACTTGATCAAACTCAAAAGAAACAAATCAAAATTCATGCTCAATAATCCATGTAAAAAATCCAACAAAGTTAAGTCGTCCTCTGAGAAGAGGTCTGCAACCTGCGGCTCTGGAGCCACATGCGGCTCTTTGGTCCCTCTGCAGCGGCTCTTTCAAGCTTTGACCAAAACTAACATAAAACTGAATTTTATTGGTTGTTTTACAAACAACAAAAAATGACTAGTTGTAGCAGTTTTCCTGTCATTTCCTTTGCAAACACAGTATGTGAATAATGGAACTAGTACAAGGAGTTAAACATACTTCCTTTAACTTTATGCTTTATTTCTATATTTGTTTTTTTTTCCACGTTTAAAAAAATTACATAGGTGTTAACTATATGCACCGACCCACTTTTTTTACTTCCGATCCGATCCCGATACCTAAAACTGAGTATCGGCCGATACCGATCCAGTTCCGATATCATGATCATCATTGATTTTATATGAGGCTGTAATAATCTCCTCTCAAGTACAATTTGTACAAATATATGCATGCATGTCCAAAAAGGCAACTTGAGGTAAGTTTTATTAATGCTGGATAAGTTTTAAAGTTAGAATTAAATTCTGCTAACACAAAACATGTTTCTTTTTATTCCTAGCTTTAAAGTGGATATTAGTGATTAATTCAAGTGATTGTTTAAAGTTGTTTTATATTTTATAAGGGGCAGATATAAGAATTTTTTCTTCTTCCTGCACTCTTTTCATTCAATATTTTCTTTTTGATGATTTTTATTTTTAAATTGTGTTTCATTTAAATGAATGAATAAATGAATTAAATAAAATGTTAAATGGCTTCAAACATCTGTTCATCTGTTTTCAGTTGTTAAGACTCTTAACAACTTCACAGTTTTTATTTTAACTACCCCAACACACACACACCCTCCACCATCAGTTGATGCTTCTTTACAAGAATCTGGTCTTTTCATTTGTCTTACAATGTAAAAATATCAATAAATGTTAAAAATCATTAGATATTTTTAACTTTATAATGTCACCTCCAACAAACCTAAAGTGGCTCATGGGCCACCAGTTGATAATCACAGTTGTAGCAGGTTGTTACGGCTCTGGACACATTTCATTTAGTGAATGAAGGTGTAAAAATGACTCTTTTGATAGTAAAGGTTGCAGACCCCTGCTCTGGACGGTTTCTTTTTGTTGAAACGTTTCATCTTTCATCCAAAAGACTTCATCAGTCCAAGGAGTCACAACAAACTCAGTTTTATTTTTTGGATTATTGAGCATTAACTTTGATGTTTTGAACCACTTTGGCCATGGCTGCCTTAAACGAGTCGACGGGGGAGAGGGCGAACTCCAGAAAAACATCTTTTTACCATCAAACTGGTTGATCCATTATGTACAGTGCGATTTAGAAGACTTGAGTTTGTTGTGACACCCCGGACTGATGAAATCTTATGGATGAAAGATGAAACGTTTCAACAAAATGAAACCGTCCAGAGGACCTGACATAACTTTGTTGGATTCAAACATAAATAAAATTGGGAAGAAAAAAAAAATAACACTAAATCATTTCATGCAAGTCTTGCTGCTTAGATGTTAAATATGTTGAAAAAGAAAGTATAATTTCAGACTTTTCAACAAGACTAGTGCGATGGGCCTCATGTTAGTTTTCTTGAAACTTTTCTTCATCTTATGAAGATCATATTGTGAGGGGGGACTGTCCAGTTCCAACTCCATTTTGACATTTACTACAGTGTTTAAAGTCTGTCTCATGAGACATTTGGAGACATGCTGGATCCGAACCAAGCATTGTCTGGAGTTCCTTGTTTACATGTTACACAGCAGGTGATATTTAAAGCCAAACCTATAAATACAAATCAATTCATCTGGAGAATTGCTGAAGAAAATGAAAGGCGACTCTTGGCCAAAAGGCACCTCTAATTTTATTCTGGCACAAAAATACAACAATCAGTTTATTCATATAACAAATGGCATAAATATAAAATACAATAAATATTAAATAAAAACCGACAGTTGCATTAAGACATGATGTAAACAAACAAATGAAGATGTGTCATAAAGACATCAACATGGAAACATAAGAATGTGAAGTTTTTTTGCCCTGAGTGGAATAAAGATTTGCAATTAGAAAACAAGTCTTTTTAAAAAATAAAAAAAAAATCAGACAATCAAATAAACAGACTGGCAGGACAAAGTGAGTGCTTAGAATAAGACGCCCTCAATCATAAAGAGCCTTAAATATTTCAGTCAGTGTATACAAACGCTCTCACATTTTGCACATATTATCATATAAATTGTTTATGTTGAACATTTTCTTATATAATATAGTCTCTTATCATATTTTACATGAATGTGTGCAGTCTCAGTCCAGTCTGAGCAGCTTGGAGGGTTCTCTTCAGTCACTCTGTGCCACAAGACAAAAAAAAACTGCAGCGAGGTTCAGTTTCACCAGTCCTCATCGTCCATGAGTGAAATGGCATGGTCCGTCAGTGCACTTTGATTTGGAGGAATGCTTAGATCACACTGCGAACACGCTGAGGGAGCTGCTCTCGTCTTTCAGGCCCAGGATGCTGTATGCTATCCTCTTCATGTGACCAGGCAACCGAACACCGATATTTCTGATGTCCCTGAAAGGAAACAAACGACACAATTTCAGAGCGCTAAACACAGCATGGCATGGCAAGTAAGTGATCCTAATAAACTTTAAATGGATTATTTTATTATCAAAACACATTTAGTACAAGTTAGACATCAATTTGTTTATTAAATTTGCTCAATAGTACAACAGTGAACTGAACAAACTGGATAATTGTTTAAAATGTTGAGCTATGAGTCAAGTACGAATGGTTCAGATTGCTCAAATATTACAGTGGTAGCTGAGAATGAAAGGAATGGCCACAGGCGGAGTGAAGTATTCCTCTATCCACAAAATGAACAACAAATGTTTGAGCAGGGAGCTAAAAAAATTATCTGAGTAATTATAAAAATGCAGCCTGTTGTGGGATGAATCAGTGCAGCATCTGTGCCATGTGTGCACTTACTCGGGCCTCAGAGCGAGCACCTGCTCCATGCTGGTTACCCCAGCACGGGCAAAGCTTTCATGGTACTGGCTCATCTTGATGGATTCCAGCCACTCGGGCACTGATCGGAACATGGTGTCACAACCGCTGGTGCTAGGAAGGCGGATGGACACGCTGTGGAGAACAACATGTATCAGCATTTATATTCATGTGTGTCAGTTTGCATGTGAAGATAAATGAAGATGGGCAGTTTTATCGTCAACACACCAAAAGATGAAAGGTTGGGAACTAGCCTCGACTATTCCCTCAAAGTTGTGCGCTTTTTAAATAATTCTCAGAATTTATTCGAAACGTATATTTATAGAAATATTAAAATTAGCTATCCAATAAAAAGTCACACTATTGGAGTGATATCAAACAATGTACAATAGTCCCTCGCTACTTCGCGGTTTGTTTTTTGCGGACTCACTCTATCGCGGTTTTTCAAAATAAGAATGGACATGAAACACAACTGGATGATTGATGGATGAGCTGCACGACAAGCATGGAATTTTATTTAAAATAAATTATTTTAAATTATTTAGCACTTGCTGCACCTGTGTACAGCCCACAGCTGCAGAAGCTTCCTCCTGCAGTGTGTCATATCTCCACCCTTCAGTAGAGAAGTGGGCGTGGCTGAGAGCGCTGGCAGGTGGCAGAGAGCAGCTGGAGGCAGAGAGCGGATATAATGACATTCTTTGCTCTTTTAGAGTGTTTAGTTTAGAAACAATGTTTAGAATATTGCAAGAGCATATTTTTTAAAGTTGACTTTAACATGATAAAAGTTGAGTCGACGTCGACTAGACTATGACTTCATAGGAACTCAAGACTATATCATATTTGCAAATAAAATAAATAGCAAAAAAATGTAATTTATTATTTACCAAAAAAAGAACAACACAACATTGGGTGTATATTTATGCTCCTATCATATATCATACTGCAAATAAGTCACAGGAAAACCAAAACTATTGTTAAGCTAAAAAAGTGAAATAAATGTGCGGCACGTAAAAATCAAGGCTAAGAAGAGCGGAGTGGGCGGTGGTGGAATCCAATCTTAGTTTTATTTTATTTAATCCACCACCATGGATTGGGTGGAATGGAACTGAGGGCAGCGAGGCGGGCGGTGGCAAAACACCTTATTATAATATTATAGTTATTATACTTATTAATGGTTGTCGGCCATGCGCGTCTGCTGACGCAGCGGCTGGGTCCAGTTAAGCTTCAGGTGGGTCGCTGGCAGTCATCCATCTGGACTTTTTGTACGTCTTAACCAGCCGGTCAGCGCGGCTGGTAGTGATCCAAATTGGCTCGTCAGCCGCATGCGTCCGTTGACGCAATCAAAAGCCCGACACCAACCCAGCCCACCCATCCAGCACATTATTTTGGCTTGGGCCGGCGCAGCAGTGTTAGAAATGACAGCTCTACTGCCTGCTGTTTTTAGTTTTATTTAATCCACCACATGGATTGGGTGGAATAGGGTTGGGAACAGCGGGGCGGGAGGTGGCGACTGCGACTGGTCAACATGAAATTCAAAAACTTCCGAGATGTCCTAGAATCGACTAGTTGACTAGTCTATTCAACCCCTACTAAAATAAACTACTTACCACTTGTACTATTTTTAGTTTGCAGTTTTTCTCTTATCACGGTGCTTCAGGGTACGGATCCCCCACGATAAACAAGGGACTACTGTATGACATATTTTCCCAACTAAACCTTTTATAATTAAGTTGACTTTGATTTATATGGCATTTAAAGATGGATGGAACATAATTTTGTTCATGAGTTCAACATTTTATTTAACATTGTGTTTCAACTTACCGTGGATCGAAGTCAGCAATGGTTTTCAAAGACTCTGGACTCTGAAGAAGTTTGTCCAAAATGTTAACGATGTCTGAAAAGCGAGGTCGTTTGGAGCGGTCTTGCTGCCAACACTGAAGCATGAGCTGGTAGATGGCGGACGGGCAGTCCATCGGAGCAGGAAGCCTGAAGCCCTCATTGATAGCCTTCATGACCTGAGGAAGTGAAGCTTGAATTTAAGGTATATTTATGACCAGAAGTTTGAACAGGCAGCAGTTCAATACACTTCAGTGTGCCTTTGCTGATGTTAAGATTTGCAGAAGATGGAAAGAAACTGTACACTGCTAATCAGGCTACCTTCTCTCAGCGCACCCTAAGCACAGACCAAAACAATCAGTCATCACAACCATGAGGGTCACGACAGATGAAACATACCTCATGGTTGCTCATGTCCCAGTAGGGCCGTTCACCAAATGCCAGGACTTCCCACATGACGATACCAAAACTCCACACGTCGCTGGCTGAAGTGAATTTCCTGTATGCAATGGCCTCTGGGGCTGTCCAGCGGATGGGGATTTTACCTCCCTGACAGAAAGGAAACACCAACAAATCTGAGTTTAAATGGTTTAAAGGCGGTGGAAAGAAAAGAATAACACTTAAGATTGGACACTTGAGAGAGGAGGCACAATTAATAATGTTGTGACATGAACAAAAAATGCAAGCATTTTGGGGTTGCATTTCCTTTTAGGCCATGAAGCATAGTATTTGAACTTACTCTGGTTGTGTAGGTGCCCTCAGCATCATCCTCCAGGACACGTGACAGACCAAAGTCAGACACCTTACACTCCAGGTTGCTGTTGACCAGAACATTCCTTGCTGCCAAGTCTCGGTGGACATAGCTCATGTCAGAGAGGTATTTCATGCCAGCAGCTATTCCGCGAAGCATTCCCACAAGATGGTATGAAGAAATCTCTTCATCATGGTCCTAAAGGGAACAAAAGTAGATATTAACCTGCAGATTTGTTTGTTTTAAAGAAATATATGAAGTTAAAACAAACAAAAAAAAGCAGTCGTATCCTTTGTCATTTTGGGTTTGTGTGTTGTGCAATAAGGTAGCACCGAGTCAGATAGCTCGTGGCTTAGTTTAATGAGACTATAAAAAAACTGATTCTTCTTTTATGAAAGCAGTCTTTGGTGCTAGAAATGATGAAAGTAAAACACTCGCACCTACCTTTAAATATGTGTCAAGAGCTCCATTCTCCATGTATTCTGTCACTATCATGGCATGCTTGACTGTAAACATAAACAAGTTATGCTATTTAACAAAAACTTATACGCAAGTAGTAGAACTCAACTTTTTCTTGTTGTTAACTCACATTTGGTGACGACTCCCTCCAGCCGGATGATGTTTGGGTGTGAGAACTGACCCATGATGCTGGCCTCGCTCAAGAAGTCCTGCCTCTGTTTCTCCGAGTAGCCTGGCTTCAGGGTCTTAATTGCTACGGTCACTTCCCCTTTCCCAGTTTTCATCACACCTCGAAACACTTCCCCAAACTCGCCTGATTAGTAAGGCAGACAGCGGACGGAAGTGTTGGAAACGTTGCCAATAAAAAAGGTCTTTAAATGAACAGTTTGAAAACAATCTTACCAACGCCGATGACTTTTTGTTTGCTGATTGCACTTGGGTCTATTTCTTTAACGAACTTTTGAATAGCGATGTTAGGGTCCTCATACATATGTGGGTCAACGTATGCCTTCAGAGGCTTAATTTGATCTGAGGAGGACAGAATGACCATCATGTTAGTCAAGAAATAAGTGAAAATAATAATGCATTTTAAAAATATTAATTGGCTAACCTGTGGAAAAGGGATCTTCGGGTCCTCTTCTGCCACCGGAGCTCAGTCTCCTGGAAAACAAGGCTAATCACTACAGGACTGCACAGAGCAGAGGCTGTTTTTTTATTTCTTTGGTAATTGCGGGGCAGCCTTGGCTCAAACAGACAAAGGGTGTATTAGCAGCAACTGTCCTTGAGCTTGTGTCTGATAACCACATAGTTTAAAGATTTGTAAACATAATATTTATCCCAGTGACATACATGCTGAATGATGATTTAAAGCGTGCTCTACAACTAACCTTCGACGCAGCAGCAGGAAGGCCACGACAACGAGCAGAATAACAGCCACGCCTACTACTGCTCCCATCACCACCGTGGGCTTGTTCTGTGTCTGAGACTCGGCTGAGCAGGTTCACACAAAGACAAACATTTGCCATCACTAAACACTAATTTACATTTGACAATCTATTTCAGTTTCTGTAGTTAATACTTAAATATAAATCATAAGACCAATGGTACCTAAAGGTAAAGTGTGAAACTCGTGCTCCATGCTGTAGCTCCCAGGCATCCCTTCAGGAGTCAGAACCTGGACCCTGAACAGATAAGTAGTGTCTGGAGTGAGGTCATTAATCTGGACAGAGTTTTTCTCCAAAATTAGGACCGTGTAGGTGGTCACATCGCTCTCACTGTCCGCATCCTGCCAAGAGAAATTTCAAAATTGGGACTTATTAGAATGACGTACTTTTCCTTAGAATAACTCTGTGTGAATAAAGTTACTGACAAAAGAGCTGTCCATCTTACTTTTTTGCGGTACATAAGCTCATAGCGGTGACTGATGTGGGCTGGTGGTCTGCGAGACAGAGTCCAGGACAGAGACAGACTGGTGGGACCACGATCGTCCAGATGGATCGACGTCACCTTGGGGGGAGCTAACGATGGGCGAGAGACAGAAAGCAAAATAATGGTTAGTGACTAATCACAGTCTTTGGAAGGGATACTTGGAAATTAAAGCCTCTGGGACTCAGTGGGTCCGACCAAATTCCTCTCTCTGTAGTAAGGCCATCTTTTGTAGAAGCCTTTAATTGAAACGTATAAGATTACATGAAAAACAACTAAACAGTTTGTCATCCTCCTAATCTACAATTTATTCTAACAGCACATAAATAGATTTAGTTTCAACACTTTGATGTTTATAGACTTTTAAAATTTACTTAGAACTTATGTTACAGTTTACATCTTACTCTTTAACTCAATGATAATCAATGATTATGTCCAAAAAAAATTGACCCATTTGTGTCTCCAACAATAAAACCGATTATTTCTTACTTGTATAATCCAGAGCAGTGGTGATGGTTGCGGCAGCCCCCTCGGTGTTGTCTCCAGAGACTCCACTACGAGCCTCCAAGGTAAACGTGTAGTTAAGATGAGAATCCAGGCCGCTGATAATGACGGTGGTGTCCCGAAGGTCTGTAGGACCCGTCTCAAAACGGATCTTCTCACTACAGGGGACGCACGAGTCCTCGCCACAGATCTCACACGCCACGCTGTAGGTGAGATCGCTGCGGCCTCCGGTCACCAGCGGTGGACTCCAGGACAGCATCAGCCGGCCCTCCCCTGACAGGGTGGTGGAAGTGAGGTCAAGAGGAGCACTAGGTGGAGCTTAGGGAGGAAATAACACAAGTCAGTCAGAGAAACCATCAAAAATTACTTGAAGGGTAACTTTAACAGTGAAAATGACAGCGAGTTGGGTCGTTACCTGAACAGGGTGATGTTGGAGGGTCTGAAGGGGAGCGGAAGAATCCATCCTCACAGAGACACTCGGTGGCACCAGCTGAGGAGGGCTTGGTGTTATCAGGACAAACCTGACATAACTTGTTGGACTCGGATGACTTGAAGTAGCCTGGTTTGCATTCTGCGTGAGACGAAGAGGGCGTGAGTTCGTTTAAACAAATAAAACCAGACAAACACAGGAAGGATCAAATGTCTGATCAAAAAGCAAACAATAAGGCTCCCTGTCAGACCGGCCTCTTCCAACCAACAGGAAGTAATTGTTGTGAGTAACCTATAATCACTGAGTCTTTGTATCAGTATGAACGAGAAGGGATTTCCCTGATGATCTACCTTCACTCGCCTCTTTTTGCCTGGAGGCCTGATCTCAGGTCGCACTGCCAGCGTCAACCGGATGGCAGCAGAGCCGTAAATCAGGTGATCTGATCTGCCTTTGCCCTGTGAACTTGGCAGCTCAAATTTCTGCTAGATAATATTTTTGTTTTTGCTAAAGGAAATAGTGCCTTGGACACTGGTGGAATGCTGTAATGAGCTTTTCATTATAGAGATAAACAGCCTTCCAGGGCATGGGAGGTTAACGAACATGCAGACAGGACAGAAATCAGAGCACAAGAGCTGCAATTCAGTCCGAGGCTAGTGTTTCCTCCCTTTCTTCCTTCCTTCCGCAGAAGCAGATGCACATATTTTCAGACTGGGGTTAGGCCTCTGAGCAGAATGAAGCTTAGGAAAGTTCTCATCTCTCTTCTTCTTTCATGTTTCTGTGGTGCCCCCTTTAATCTGGCCCCCGTGCTGGTGACAGAGACAAGAGGTCAAGTGAATCCTGCACTGAAGACATGACGCGTTACTTCCCCACCAAAGCAGAAAGACCTTTGCGACCAGAGGTGGAGAAGGAGCAGGTTGAATTTGGGGAACAGATGAATGAAAAGCGGTGAGGGTAAAGGTCGCGAGCACCAACAGAAGCTCCCTCTGGGGAGTCGCTTGGCGGCAGTGGGAGGCGTAGTCGGGGTTATTTCGAATAAGAAAAGGGGGCCAGCCCATTTTATCTCGAGCTAGAACAGCAGGACCTCGGTCACGTACTAAAGAAACTACAGCCCTATTCATCTATTGTCTGTACCGCTGAACGAAGTGGTGCCATAAATATATTGCATCACTCTTTATAACGCTCACAAATGGCAGCATGTGTGCAGTGAAACACTACACTTAATACAAATAATGGTGCAAAACAAAGATAGTTTCATCTGAGTAAGCATAAAGTGTCTAAACTTCTTTTTTTATTATTTTTATTGTGCTTCTAGTCTCTCATTGACCACACCATGTGGAAAAAACTGAAGTTCTGCACTGACGCTTTTAATAAATTATTCTTTTCTGTTCCCTGAGCTTCAGCCTGTTGTTCTAATGAGTGGGAACGTGGATTAGGGAGCGTGTTAACAACCGGATGAAAGAGCAAAAGGAGGGTGAGCGAGGCATGTCATTGGCTAACAGCTGTCCCGTTGCTCCACTAATCCTCTCGGTTAAATTACACTCCACACCTAAGAATCCCCAAAACCAACCTCCCTCGTGCACCAACTGGCGGCTCACTCCTCACCGAAGACAATCTGCTTATTTGTGTCTGTCAGCATTCCTCCTCATGTCGCTTTGCTTTCTTTTCCCACAACAGTTGGGTTCTTCGGTGGATTCCACACACAGGACATGAGCCTGTCAGGATATCACTTTCTCTTGTCATGAAATGGGAACGAGACTGTGAGGTTCCAACATTTGAGAGCTGGTTAAAGTTAAAACCATCTTCTCGTGTAATAACAGATTCATCCTAAAAATCAGGTTAACATCCAGAGTTCTGGATTATATCTTTTCCTGTCTTTTTGTGCCAGCCTCCAAGCGGCCCAGTGGCTCAATGTGACCGTCATCAGGAAACTTGAAAACTAAAACATTCCTTTTGTTTTAACTTCCTGAGAGATTTGCACTTTGAAGTAAAGCACTTATCTGTTATTATCCGTTAGCATGTCCTAATCAGTTCTGACTGACTTCTACGATATCGCTTGTTATCTGTGAAAAACGTTCAAACCCCTGAAGTCACAGTTTGAAGATATTCAGTGTAGAATGAGACAAGAAAAACAACTTCACAATAAAATGACAGTTATATGTATTTGTGATAATTATAGGAAGAAACCGTCCCACTCACAGGAAGAATTTGAAAATAGCTCAAATTTTTCCCAGTCAAGGTGGCTCGGACCATCTCGAGTCATAAACCACAACCTGACTCAGTCTTAACCCCTGGTAGGTGTGTCAGCCTCTTCCCTGCAATCTGTGGTTCCTGTTGCCTCGGCGACCAGCCCAAAACAAATACTTGTGAGAAGAAAGACACCACAACAGGTAGTCATTCTGGCACATTCACACAGCCCTTCCTCTGTTCAATCAGTGCTGTAGATATAGGTGACGCGAGGATGAAAGAATGCCTTTAAGAAATCCCCCTCGACCCTTTCCTCCCTCCTTCCTCTTCACTCGGTACCTCTCTCCTCCCACGTTTCCTCCAGACAGTTCAACACACCACACCCCGAAATACCAAAGGACAGACCAACCAACTACTGCACAAAAAAACGTGCTTACAGTTTAACTACTACTATTGTGCTTTTTGTTTCCTCACCTGAAGTCTAATCAGCATGACGTTATCAGAATTCAATGTTTTGTATTATTTTATATGCAAATACAAGACTGTTTCATTTAATTCAAAAATAGTCATTGAAAAGTCTTAAAAAAGCAGTTTTATACTTTGTATATAAATAGTTTACTGTAAATTATGTGCAATACTTATTGTAAAGCACTGATTTTCAGTGCTCATAAATTTATCGGAGTTTAAATCACGAGTGCTGAGCAATTTAATTCAGAAAAATTATTTACGTTTATCCCCAGCTTAATTTGATATACAGTCATTTTCATAAACGGTATGCTCTAAATCTCTGAAGGTCCTTTTTGTTTTTAATATCGTAAAAAAGTGCAGCGAAGACAGAGCTTTTTGTACTGTACGTTATCACCTCGAGCTATAAAGCAGTGTTTGAGCCCAGCCTCATTCCTGCAACCAGGAGTGGAAACAATAATCTGTTGGGCAACAGGTATAAAATGAGGTGTCAGTGGGAGTTGAAATGTCCACATAGAACTATTCATCTGTTTTTACACAAAGAAACCAGTTGTTGAAGCCTTCTGTGCTAACCTACCGTAATATTTCCAAACAAATCTGGCACAATTAACATTCCTGTGGACTCATTACTCAATCAGACAAATTTGTTACAACCCCCTAAAGCAAGACAAACAGTTGGAGAGCACACTTCTGGCAACGCTTACCTTGGCAGGAATTTTCTTTGGCTTCGTAGCCTGGGAGACACTGGCACTGACCCACAGGAACCACCCAGTCTCCTTCAGCTGTGCAGTAGATGCGTGGGGTGGCCTGACTGATAGCGTTCTTAACACAGGCTCCATCCACCACCTTCAATACATCTGCCACCGTCTCTGGGAAGGCCGCCAAGCTCTGCACGGTGGAGGGGCACGTCTTGTAGTAGACTCTGACAGACAGCAGCGCCACACAAGCACCCATGTCCTGAAAGGCCAGGTAGAAGCCTTTCCTTGACAGGGTCCCCACCGTCCTGGTCTCTTTGTTGATCTTCACCACACGGCCCTGGGTGACCTCATCAGGTGCGATGGTGGCCACTTTGCGAAATTGCCCTTTCCGGAAGCTGGTTCCCACATCAGCATCGGCCTCAGAAATGAAGAGGTTGAAGGTTTCTTTGCAGGACACTGAGGCCCCATCGAAAGTGTTGCAGTCTCGCACAATAAACTGGAGCTCCACGGAGAAACGCCTGGTTCCTGGGGGGCCCTGAATGTATGTGGTGCGTAGCCAGTTATCCTGTTCAGGTGATTCTACACTACAAACGCTGTAGGTATAAAACAGAGAGCCATTCACCACCGTCTGGACAATCTCCCACTGCAGACCAAAAGAGAATAGCAAGAGACATTAATTTATATGACTAAAGTCCTTATAACAAGTATACCAGCTTTTTGGGGACATTTTATTGCCAAAATCATTTTTAACTGATGAGACACCTTTTCTTTCATGGTTTTTGAGACGCTCAAAAAGCGAAGAAGTGAGCTGAAACTCTTTTTCCACACATTAACATTGTCTGGGCTTGTGCGGCGTGCACAACGTGTGTGGGTTCCCATTTACACACATGACCGCAAGCGCGTAGGACCCAAACCCAGCAAATACTACTGTAGAATACCACCTTACTTTTATGGCAGTGAAACAAGCTTTGTAAGCACAGCACCACATGAGCCATGGCAGCGAAATCAGCAGCAATTAAGGTTTTTACGAGAGGGAAGCGCTGGTGAGTAAAAAAGATTAAAAGACTTAATTTCAGATTACATTTTAACGCCACAACTGTTAGTAGTTTATGTTGGTTTCAGGAAATAAATGGGTGCTCAAAGTTTTTATCGGATGTTGGAAACAGACAGTAATTTTTCAAACATCCAGGACGAAGATATAACTGATTACTAATAAACTTGTGCTGCTGAAAAATGCCGTGCAACTCAAAAAGTCATTCTACCTGCAAATATAACCTTTTTTTTTTAGTTTAATAAATCCAATCAAGACTAAAGCTTATTTAAACAGACGAAGGGAAATCCTATCCAGTACAGCGACAATCCTTACATTCTTAGATCTTAGGAGTGAAACAAGAAACACAGCCCACACACTTGAACCAGACACGTCCTGTTTCTTAATTTGGACGGAAAGCCACCGAACTATAGATAGGAAAGAAAGGGATGGCTCTGTACATCTGGAACAAACTTTCTTTTTTATTTACTTTTAGTCACGTCTTTCCACGTCCTGTGAGCGTAATCTCTAAATTTAAAAAAGGAATCACTGAGGGAAAAGAAAACGTGAAACGTAACGAAGAGAAAGCAGCTGAGTAACACACTTCGGTACAGTAAATTTAAATGTAGGTTGAACTTTGGCATTTTAATGTCGTTCATAAGCTCTTTATGAAAGGGTAGAATTAACACAAGATAAGCTGAGCTCTGCCAAACCTCATCGAGCTGCCGTTCATTCCATCTCTCCCATGCGGAGAGCCTTTTTTTAGTGGCCTGAATAAGCACAGGCCTCCACCATTGTCACAAGCAGATTTAAATGCTTGAGACCCCCCACCCCCCCCAAAAAAAGATTGCTTATTCACTTCCACATGTGTTACACACAGAAACACCATTTAAAGTTGTGAAGCTGTAGTTTTAAAAATGTCTGCTGAGGTAAAAATACTCACCCCTTCCTCATTTGGGGACGTCAACCAGCCTAACTCTGATCCTGAAGCTTTCATATCCAGCAGTACATCTGCAGGGACACAGGAAAACATCACACCATCAGTTTAAAAATGTGTGAGATCTTGACTTCACTGTTGAACTTTTTGATCTTTCTTTATAGGGGGGCACATGCCACTGCTTTGACATTTTAATCAAGCATGTCGGCCTGATTCTAACTTTCAGTGACCGTGTCCTGCAGATCTGTGGATGCTGTTAGTGCCTGAGAAAGGCGTGGGAAGGTAAATGTCCGTGACCGGGGGAAATCCATGAATCTGCGCCACGAGTGAAACAAAAAGTGTTTGATATAATGTTAAATCATAAAACAGGTGCCCTTCAGCAGCTCAGTTTTCTTTTTTCTTTTTTTTAAGGACAAACTGACAAAAAAAAAAGTGATGCTTGACTAGCCTTTAAATCACTCTGAAGTGACCAAGATCAATAAATCAATTAAACATCTCAAGACTGAGCAAATTATTAACATTTAGGGCTACAAAAGCTGGATAAAAAGAGCTTATGGAGGAAGATTTAAAGTAAATCAAAACTTAAACCCGTTTAAATACCAGTCTTCTGACTCATAAGGTGCGACAAAGTTAAACTTTACAACTTATTAAAAAGAAAAACTTACGTTCTTTTGACTGAAGCGTGATAAATATCCGATAAATAAATAAAAACAAGAAGAAGTTGGCCCGACGCAGCTCCATGTTTCCACACAACTTTTTAAAAAGTCGTGTTTTTGAACTTTAAAAGCCTCGTCTTCTTCTCTTCCCCCCTCCTGTCGCACCACCGGCGCCTCTTCTCCGGATTCTTCTTCTACGGCTGGCTGACTGCGCGCACGAGCCCGCAGCCCATTCAGAAACAGGGCGCGTCATCACTCCTCCCCCTCGCCCTTTGGAATGTGGAAGCAAACCAAATATGGTAATAAGAGGGCGGGGCCAAGTCCGCATCGCAGCTGTTTCATTGAGGAGATTGTAAAGCTTTTTAATTGCCCTGGTAATAACTTTAGTTTGAATAGTAAATATGCATTACTTAACATTTTTAAATTTGAGTAAATTCAGGCCATACTTCTTTACACAGACTATTATTTTATTATTTATTTATTTTATTATTATTATACAATTGAATTGAATTAGCAGTTATGTTGCAAAGCTGCACCATTATTGACCAAAAACCATTCAGCAAATTTAAAACATTTAAGTGGAACAGCTTATTATATTTGAATATTCATTAGATTATAAAAAAAATTGCATTGTTTGACTAGAAACAAAATGTCAAAAACAGTTCCTTGTGTTCAAGTTAACAAATTTTACAGGTATGCTAAAACAGCATATTGGCATGACATTTAATGCCTTTCCTCTTTTTTTTTTTTTTAATTAAAACTTTGTCTTTCAACTGCTCCCTTCTTCAGGGGTCACCACAGCGAACTAACTCGTATGAAGACTTCGCAACTGTTATTACGCAGAATGCCCTTCCTGACGTCGCTACCACAGCCCTCTGTGTGGAGCAGAGAGCTGCCATTGAGTGCCCGAGGGTCGCAGATGATGGGGGTTAAGAGGCCTTGCTCAAGGGCCCAAGGCAGGGCAAATGAGGGTGGAGGCAGGTGAGAGTGTTTCACCTTTCCCACCCACATTTTTGATGTTGCCGGTCCAGGGAGTTGAGCCGGCGACCTTCCGATCACTGGCCCTCCTTCTCAAACCTCTGCGTCACCACTCCCCTAATTAAAACCAATGTTCTCTCTTTTTATTTCTGTGCTTGTGCTGGATTTAAAACATGGTTTTTTTGCTGTATTATATTTTGTGGTAGTTCTTTTGTACAACACCATTTTATACTTTTATAGTGAACATCAAAGAAGTCTTTCAAAATGTATTACCAATTACCTTAATGAGAGAATATTTACTTCTTTTTTTTTTACATTTTCTACATTCCACTGCCATTTTTTTATTGTTTAAAACATACATTTTCAGAGAAATACATTTAAATTTGAATTTATTGCATTGTAATTTGACACACAAACAATTAAAATGGCGTTTAAAGTGTTTTTGAAACATTACTTTTTAGTTGTAAGTCTTACTTGGCTGTCTGGGCATCTCTGTGTTGCTTTAATGGTTGCTTTTGTTCATAAAACCTTTATTAACTTGAAAAGTATGAATGTAAACAATTAATTCTTGTCATTCTCTTGATATGCTTCATCTTTTGTCAAATCTTCAGACTATTTTAGAAGTTGCTTCTGTCCAAAGCGTTGGTAAATGTTTTGATCTGTATAAGTTGTGTGTATATATTTTCTTTGATAACATCAAAAGTGAATTTAAGTTAGACAATCATTTCACCGTCCTCCACTTAATTGCTTAAATCCTCCACATCTCGTCCAGGTCTTGTCTTTCCCACGGCTAGTAAAGGAGGGGTCAAGTGGGGGGGTTGGTTAGGTATGAATATATGACTACTAATGAGACAGTCCTCCAAAGAGACCTCACGATTTGGGTATGAATATGCGGCCACAAAGAAAGTCTAACAATGGCATCACCTAGCAACTCTTTTTTGCAGGAATGTCAGAGTCAAGTCTTCTCTGTGGAGCCGAGTGCACTTGGAAAGAAGAGCCCCCTCAGGCTGAGGGCCAAAGACAGGCAGCCATCCTGACAAAGAACCCCAACCTAAAAAAAAAAAAAATAATCAACTGAAGGGTCGAACATTGTCTTGTCCAGAGTTACGATACATGGACATTATTCGTACAACAGACAAGATGAAAGATGCTGTTAAGAGAAACGGATTAACAAGTTAAGTGTGCGCTGAGTTATGACTTTCTGACCTGTCACTTTAACCACTTGCTAAACTAATCGTAACCAAATGTCACATTTACAACACATTTTACCCTTTAGACCAGGGAGCTAAAAATTTGCATCCTAATAAAATATTTAACTAAAAGCCTAGCATTCCTTGAAGGAACACCATGTTTTCTGGCAGAGTTTTAAGATGAGAAATGACAGCTGTAATAATCTTGGTCAAACCTTGAAATTACTGTATTTTTCGGCCTATAAGTCACGTTTTTTTGCATAATTTACATGCCCTGCGAATTATATGCCAAAGCTACACATTTATGGATTTTTTTCCTAAATGTATAAACCAAATTTTGGCTGAGATATGACCGTTTTCATTCATTCTAACAGAAAATATTGAACACTACCATTTTCAGCCGCTAGATGGCACTTGAGTAGTATGGCATGCCGTTGTGTCATGTAATAGGTAAAAGTGGCTATTAATGACACAATCGGCTTGCTACAGTTGCCACCTTAATCCAGCTCACCTGGAGCAACCGTCAAATCAGCTTCATTTTGCTGCGATGCCCCAGCGAATTGCAGCTGATTTGACCATTAAAGTGCATTTATTAAGTAAAAGTTAAACTGAGACACACCTTTGCTATAAAGTAGAGCAAAAAGTAATTGATTTAGGTGTTTATCTTGTTAAATTTAAAAGAAATGTGCAGCGTTCCTCCTTCCTGATTTCCTCTCTCTGCGTGCTCCCGGAGCACCGAGGCAGCAAATACTTTTGAAATGCAGCTGATTTGATCGTCAAAGTTCAATTCAATTAAATTCAGTTTATTTATATAGCGCCAAATCACAAAAAATTTGTCTCAGGGCACTTTACAGGAACATCCATAAAAGCCAATTAGTAAAGTTCTTTATCTAAGGAAAGTTCATTTAGTGCATTTATTAAGGAAAAATTAGACTGAGACACACTTTTACTATAATTTTGAGCAAACAAATAATTGTTTTTAAGTGTTAATCTTGTTGAATTTTGAAGAAATGTACAATGAATCCTCCCGTGCACGTGCCTATTTCCACGTATTGGGTTTTGAAATGCAGCTGAGTTGACCGTCAAAGTGCATTTATTAAGGAAAAGTTAGACTGAGACACACCTTTGCTATAATTTTGAGCAAACAACTAATTGTTTTTAAGTGTTAATCTTGTTAAATTCTTGTTAAAGTCTTCCAGTGCACGCTCCCATGGCCTCCATTTGGCAGTCAATCGATTTTTAGCACACCAGCCCACAATTCCAGGTTGTCAGCGATGACGCATAATAGATGCAACGTATACGGCGAAGCGACATATTTATGGATTTTCCCACTTTATTAGACATATTTGGACTGATGAGACTTGTACGGTGGAAAATACAGTAACATTATGGTCAGTATATTATATTGGTAACATATTATGTACAGTCTATATAAATACACAAAAAATATACAAAATTTTGCTTGGAGCTTGGGTTGTGAATGATTGTCAGCTACTACCACATCAAATTTTAGTTCAGTATTTGTTCAAATGATTACGCCATAGACATTTTTTGTGATGGGCAATGTTGTAGCTGAGGACATCTTGAATCAGACTGAGTGCAAAGGTTAATCAGCTGTAGATGTGCATGATCTGATAATCACTTTCTGAAAGTTTCACTAAAGTTCATTCAGTCATTCATGATATATTTTGCTAACAGACAAAAAGGGTTGACTCCAAGAGTGAATACTAAAGTTTTAATTGAAGATTTTGCACAATAAGTAGCTCTTGGAGAATGTATCACAACTACAGCCTGTACATCCAGTTTTAACATAATATTTGTGAAACTGCCTGAATTATATTTGTGACCTTTACAGCAGTTTGGCTGTGGGGGCCATCTGGAAATGAAGACAGACTAAACTGACTCTAAATGGTTAATGACAAAATTTTAAACTAAGATCCCATGCAATCAAATATCGCTCAGAAATTTCTATTCGGATCCATCTCAGCTAAAATCACACCAAATGTTTTGCTCATTATCTGTAAAATTGACTCAATTGTAGCCACATTGTTTTTTTCTAAGATCAGCTGACTGCGGTGGTCATCAACCAATCAAGGTTGACTCTAAAAGTTATTAAGCTGTAGAGGAGCATCCAATGATTACTTTCTGCAAGTTTCATAAAATTTGTTCCAGTGATGCATGAGATGTTTTGTTAACAGACAAACAGATGCACATAGACGGGTGATCAATCTGACCTTCTAGGAGTGCTTAGCCCCCAGTGCTGACAATGTTTCTTGGCTTGAACAACAGGGTGGCCATTGGCACCGAATCATTTTTAATGTGTGTGTGTGTGTGTGTGGGGGGGGGGGGTCTGGGGGTTCTTCCCCCATAAAATTTTAAATAAAATAGATGCCATTTCCTGCACTCTGGTGTATTTTAAGGTGTTGTTAAACATCTAGGTTTACCTTGATTCAACGACTATCTTAGAGAGCGTGGCACAACAAGAAGTAACCTGACCAACAGCTCCCCTTGTGTGAATAGAGCACACTCCGCTTCGCCAACTATGGCCAGTCATAGGCACTGACATAGCGCTAAGCTAGTGAAACTCCGACAATATTGTTGGAGGAAAAGGAGGTGCAACTCCTGCAGGTAAGGAGTGTTTACCTTCAGAAAAAAATTGAGGTCGCTGATTGGTCAGTTGCTGATAAACCTATTAGAACGATTGACAGGTGACACAGAGGATCCGACTTTTGCATAAACAAAAGTCAAAGATTTTACTGGCACATTTAAGAGTGTCATCATTTATTCCAAATGTATTCAATATTTTGGTGAATCTAATGTTGGAGAACTGAGTTTCCTTGCAAAATCCTAATGATGGTTTCTTTATTTTTCAGGGGTGCCGAGTTAAAATTTAAGGGTGCTTGAGCACCCCCAAAAAGAGGCTAATAAAATCGCCACTGCACACAGATATGAACAAAAACATCATTATTGTCCGCCTTTGCCTTTCAGGTTCAAAATATTTTTACACAAAGACTTTATTGT